TGACAACTTGTCAAATTGCTATTACTTTCAGCACAGAACTAAGCAACTAAGTTCAGAAAACAAATATTCATAGCAACTTAAGGATCATGCTGCCCACATGCAATACTAGCTGGAAGGGGTTTTGTTTTGGGTTTTTTTCCCCAAGAACGAGGCACTAGGAAAAATATTTACCTACCAAAGCTTTTGAACTTTCTCACTCATACAGCTTTGATTTTGAAGTAATTTAAAACTGGCGAAAGTGTGCTATTGTTTCTTCAGTGCTGAACCATCAGTTATTAGAACAAGTCATTCTGTGTACTCGATTGATGATGAATCAGTTTTTCCTCTTTTCAGCACAGAAACTCAGCTGAATACAGCTGTTACACAAATCAACATTTCACATTATTTTCCTATTCAATCAAACTTTCTCTTTGTAAAAGGAATTTTTTTTAAAATAAATTCATCTCTTTTCAACAGGTCCTTTATGAAAATGTCATTTTTAACAACTAAGAAAAAATTAAATAAGGTATTATGCACAAGTTTATTCAAGAGCATTTTGCACTAGCCAACAAGATGCTGAAACTTGCTGTGTTGTGTTGCCCTCTTCAGGTCGACAGCACTTAACATTTTCTAGTTCTTTTGCTCGACAAGTCATTGCAATTTCAACTTCTGTCATAAAACTTTTCAGATCTGCAGTTTCAAGTGGCAGCTAACTTTACCTCGATTCCACCAGTGCTTGAAGTATTTTTGATCTAAAACCATATAGAAATAAACTTTATTTTTGGCCTCTACGTCTCCCTAACTTTAACACTAATCTTGAGGATTATCAAAATATCAGCTAGTGTTTAAAAAGATGACTGAAAAAAACCCAAACCCAACTGGTAAGCAAACCTCATGACAAGAGGCTTAAAGAGCTGAATTGATTCAGCTTACCAAAGAAAACTGAAGCTGTTGAAATCACTCCATAAGTCAACTTGGAGATCAGAAAGTCAGATGACTTTAAAGGGGTGTAAGGCAAAACAAAAATCTAGAAACTGGAGTTGAAGTCAGATAAGTTCACCCTTGAAAGGCAATGAGGCTTTCTGCCCAAAAAAAACACTAGTGCAAAAGGATGGATTCATTATTACTTGTGAACTTTACAGGTGGACCCAGTGTCTTTCAAAACAATCTATTTTGATCAGTTTTTGAGTGGTTGTTGTAACATATAACATGGGCCAAATTGTGATGCTGATTTACATACTTGTAATGGGTTTTGCAATTGATTATCTGAGCTCTGCCAACAAGTGTGGAAATAGGAATAAATCAGTCTTCCATTGCTTGGGAAAGGGCCGTGCTTGGGCTTCTGATTCATTTATTGAGCCAGATATTATTAATGTCTTAGAATATTTCATTTCCCCCTCCCACCTTGCTATTTTTAGAGGACAGGTCATGGTAGACATTTAAATATATTTAGACACCTCAGTACTGTGACTTTGAGATAAAGAGCAAAGTGTTGGATTTAACCAATGTATTATCAAGTATGAAGAATTTCACTCACATTACTAAGGCAGATAAGCATCATAACAATTCGTGACTGTACAATTTAATCGCCACAGCTTAAAGGACTTAGGATAGGAAAAATCTTTCAAAGCTAAGGCATACTATGCAATTATACAATAAAATTAATAATCTAATCAAACTCCTTAGAAAAAGAGGCAAAGAAAATGCTCATTGCAATCATGGCATGTCCTAGTACTCAAATAAAGGAAAAAGCAAACAAGCAATCCCAGATTATCCCCTCTTGGGCTGGCAAACACAACCACCAGCCTGTCTTTAGCCAAGTGAGACTCTAGAAAGGCTCAGAAGAACTTGTCATGAAGAGTTTTAATGCATTTTCTTTCACACACTTTTGTAATTTTATTCTCAAGAATGAAGTGCTATCTCCAACTTAAATTCCTATATACTCATAGAGCAGACTCCAGAGGAAGGGAAGAAGACTGACAGGGAGAGCACAAGCAAGAGCAAGTGGGTGAACAAGGGCACGGGGAGAGGGCAAGATACCAAAACTCAGGGATGAGTGCAAACTGCGTGCACAACAGCTGAGAATCAGAGTGCTCCCATCTGTAGTGTAAGACAGCAGACAGTAGTTCATCAGGGTAGTCTCTATCAGCACGTAGAGACTCTTCTCCAGTGCCTGACTAATATGCCCCATCACAGTGCCTGGAGCCAAAGACTGATGAAAACTTCCTGCCATCTGTCAGCCATATAGTTTGTTCAATTAGAAAGTCCAAAACCAGCTAGTCTTATAAACATGGGGAAAAAGTCCTCAAGCCAAACCGGCTCTAATACTGTACAAGAAAAGCAGGACTCTTAAATGCATAATATACCTCTGAATTGATGAAGTGGGAGGGTTTTTTTTTTTAATGTGTTTAAGTAAAAGTGTCACAGAATTATAATTACTATTTTTAAACCATCTCTGGTACAAAAACTTTCCACCTATGTCAAAGGTTCATCTGGTACAAGTGCAATATGACACAGTTTAGACTATTATAGCTAGTAACAACACCTTCAAGATCTCTTAGCTAACATTTAAAATTGCAAATGAGTTGATCCTTAATGATAATCAGTCTTTTTCTTAATCTTCTACAGTAGATGCCAGGATTCAGGTCCAATCTTAGCTGCTACGCTTAAAAGAAGTGGTGCTGGACAAGGGCTTTTAAAATTACCTGTGGTTAGTTTAGTTCTGACTTACCCAAGTATGACGTTCGTATTTTTATCATCTTTCTCCCCCGCACACCATCAGATTTGGATACCACACGAGATATGATTCATATTATTCTTCAGAAATGTATTTTAATAGACAAGTTTTACAATTGAAAGAGCCTTTGAGTTTTGAAAATATCAGGCCTTCAGTAAAAAGCATGTCAGATTACTTTATTGCATGCATTTTTTCTGCAGCAACTTTTCCCTGTCACATTTAATCATTGCTAAGGTGGATTTCTTAGTTGATATCATAATCTAGTACATTTCTTCCAAGGAAAACAAATTCATTCACCTTACACTGCCAAAACACAATCTAACAAGTTCCTTTCACAGAATTTCCTTCTAATAATTTCAACATAATGGAAGGTATGGAGACTAAGAGAAGGATCTCTCCCCACTGAAGGCAATGCCTGGTTTTCTGCCATCCACCTGTACATCCTTAAGTATCTGCAAAATCACATGTGAAAACACATTGGTAATAGATGTCCACCGTAACACAAACCCAGGCTAAATTTGCTTTCAGGTATTTATGCAGGGATATGCAAGCAACCAATTAGAATGTAAAGCTGACTTCTAGCAGCACTAACGGAAATGAAATGCGATCGGGGTGGGGGTTAAATACATCTTCAGAATACTTTTGAATCAGTTACTTCAGTATATGCAAGTCTGTCACTAAGTACTGCAAAATTATGTTAGAACTACAGGAATTAACCCCTTGCTTGGAATCAAATATCACCCTTTCTAACACTTTCTGAAAATTCCTTTAAATACATAGACTTATGATGAACTGTAATCAGCACACAAACCAAGAAACCAAACAAAAAAACTAGAAACACCTGCATCCACTTTTTTAAAAAGAGGAACATTACTGAAAATATTTAGAAATATTAAGAACAGCATTACTGAAAATAATATACACCAACCTTCTTAAAGGCTGTCTCAGCATCATCTGCATTTGTGTTTGGTCTTCTACTCTGAGTTAGATATTTTGGGTTTTAACTATAGGAAGTAAGCATTTCCAATTGAAAAGATAATGAGAATCAAGATAAGTACTACTGGTTAACGGGATAGACATTATTATTATTGAATTAGATTTTTTTTTTAAAAAAAAGCTTTACTAGCATGAAATCATGTGATATCATAGAAAATCTCTGTCATGGGTTAAAGGTCTGTACCTTATCCATACAGCAAAACTTTCATTTCACAAGCCCACTTATGTGATTTCTATGAAGACTTAAAAAAAAAAAATCAACAAACTATCAGTGAATAAGCAAACAGCTTTTACTAATCAAACAAAATGCTGTAAGTGAACTACCTTTCCTGATACAAATTTTTTGATACTTACACAAACCTTGCCATCTGCTATGATCTCTGACAAAATAACTGACTTCCGTTCTCAACCTAAGGTTTCACTATGACAGTAAATGTCTTATATCTAACATTAAAAGTTACTGCAGTCCCATTGCAAGATTGTATAGGTTTGTATAGTCATTAAAACCTGTTATAAAGTAGTATCAGACTATTCAGCGCTATGAATAAAGGACTTTTTTTGATAGCTACAGGTGCAAAACTTAAATGTAAATAGATGAAAGTACTTCAATGACAAAGCAGAGCAGAACTGTTAATTTATAGAGAGGCTATGTGAATTCTGTATAAGTTTTTAACCACACTTAATTCCAAACTTCATAGTGGCCTTAATGCTATAAAAACTAAGGGAACATTGAAAAATTTTAAGGATTCCAAGGAACATGTGTCCAAATAAACTGCTGAGAAAAACAGAGCACTGGTGTATTAAATCAGAAAAAATATTCAAATCTAGGTTTGGATTATAAAATATACAATTAGAAGACAAAGGTAAGAACTAGATGCAAGACCTTTATAATGCCAACAAGAAGCCTACATAGTGGTTGAAGGAAAAGCATTGCTCCTGAAATATTTGACTGAGACATTTCAGAGGGCATTTTGCATCCAAAGCAGTCTTCATAGTTAGCAGTTATTTTTAATGACAGAATTAGCTTTTTTAAAAACAAACATCACCTATACCAGCCTTAGCATATTCTCAAGTATTACACACTTACAACACAATGAATGGTAATTACCTATTAGAATAAATACAGTCTAGTTTGTCTTTGCTAATTCATACAACTCAAGGGTCCAGGAAAGATGAACATAGAGAGTTTGCCATAATGTTAGAAAAGGGAACACATAATTCTAAAAACAGATTA